AAACAATGTCATTAAACATCAGCACACAAAAACGTCTAAAAAAAATTAGAGACGAAACAGCAAAAAAGGAACAAATTCGGTACCGCCAACAGTTTTTCGAAATTTGGAAACGAATAGTTCGCAAGCAGGAAGTTAGAAAAAGGGCCCGTTAAAATGTAGACGCAATTTGTAATGCAGGTTTGCGAAACATTCTCAATTTTTAGCAAGAAATTGACAAGAATACAAAATAAACATGAATGAGAAAGAACCTCGGACAGAACGCAATTAAATTAGTGTCTTGTGCATCGTTTTTGAAGAACGAGTTGAAAAAGTAACAATTTTAAAACTAAAGCTGAAGAAGAATTTATAAAATGCATCAACTTTGAACTCATTTCAATAAATTACACAAAATTTATTGCCGATCATCATAATACCCACTTGTATCTTTTCCTAAATAACTGTTTTCAACAGAATTTATGGAACGAGCGTATTCTGCTTCTTCCTCTCCAGCCTTACTCATTACGTCTTCCGCAGTTTGTTGCCATTGTGGTGCTAATTTGTGGTGATATTTAGAATATGTTTTTGAAGACATACACGGAATGTTTAAACATGATAACCATTCTTCTAAGTTATAAAAACCTCCCCCAATTGACATGATGCCATTTACAGCGCACGTATTTAAATCAATTTGATTATCAGGGGTAGTCTTTTGAGAATTTAAATGGAAAGACAACCCACACATGTCACATTTTAAAATAAATTTCGAAATCAATCCTGTCCGAATCTCTTTAACTAACTTACTTTAACTGTACATTTTGTAGAGTGCATTCAAATACTTTTGAATGATTCGAGATTTCTTGAAGACTTTCGAAAATATATTGGAAATCTATAATTCGGTTGCCTTCCACGGGTTCTATAAAAAGAAAATTAGATACTCAGCAAATAACAAAAATTTAGCAGGTTTTACCGTATGTGGGAATTTCCTTAGATTTATTTATAAGAGAAATGTCTTCCACAGTTTCCAAGAATTCTTCTGGTGTATTATTAACAGTTTCTGGAGATGTTTCAGCGGCTTCCTGCGGAGATGTAGCGTGTTCAAAAGATGGAACTTCTAGTTCTTCTTGTGGATCGCTGCAAATCTTTGACAAAACATTTTTTATAAAAAAACTCATACCAGGTGAATAAAAAGTATGGAATCAGACGTTTTTTGCTTAAAGTATTTTTGTATTACTTTAATTTATATTAATCATTATTTTCTGGAGGCAAATGATATTTACTCTGTATAAGTTGCCATTTTAACAAAAAAAATCGCATAACTCAAAAACAAAACAAGATTTCATTCTCAAGATACGATCACTATAGTACTTTAATTGCTATTAATTATTATTTTCTAGAGGCCAATGATTAAAAAAAAAGAAAAAGATTACTTACATTTTTATTATTCCGTAAGTTTTTCACATTTCCCTTTCTGCGTTTTCTAGATGAAAGCCTTCTCACATTTTTTCCATTTGCTTTGGCCATACCGAAATCAAAATAGACCTAAATATAGATAATAGGTAMGAATATTAAATAATACATAAAGATTTTTTGAAGTACTTACGTTCAATACAATAATAAAAGTAACTTTCACTAAATATAACTAGAACACTAAACTAAAAACACAACACTAAACACATACACGAATTAAAACTATTAAAATTTTTAACAAAGACCGAGATAAACGAAAGACTTCTTGGAGTTGTCCAGACGAAAATCCAAATGAAGGAAAATTTGTCTAAGATGCCCTTATGCCTGAGCGGGGAACGGATTGGAACCACGGGGGATCGGTTTCAGTTTTGTCAATTTATACCTATCTCTTCAATCACAACTACTGTTAGATGTGTTATAAACATTATTAAACAAAGGTTATTTAATTAAGATTTGCTGAAAAATATAAAAAAAAATAATTAAAGGTAAAATAAAATGGATAGATATCGATATCACAATGTAGGTATTCGTTTATTTACTACAGAATCCACAGAAAAGCGGCTGTTTGGAAACAAAATTATCCCAAGTAACTTAGCAGGTACCGAACGGTTGGATGCGGGTAGTAACATAAAGTAATTTAGAGATTGTACTTGCGGTTGCAGGCATTAGCTTTTAAGGGCTGGTTGTAAATTACAAATTTTAAACGGAATTTTAGATTGAAAATAATTCTACCACAATAACGTTGTTATTTATTAAGATATTTTCGTCGAATTTAAAACTATCGTCATAAATGTATATTTTCTACGTTTTAACCGAGGGAAATCCGCAAATTCTTTTTAGTTTTTGAATTAGACAGTTTGACGAATTTCTCATTTTTATGGAAAATTTGTTTTGTATTTAAATGACTTTAGAAACAAAATTTTGAAATTTTGCTCGGTTAAAGTGTACAAAATTGAATGCTCTTTCAAATAGTGTCGGTTTTACTAAAATCCGTTGATTAACTTCTTCTCTACAGTGGCAGAACTATACATTGAATGTTCCATAAGAGAGTTAGGTAGCGAGGCCTGGTGTAGTTTATAGTGCAATATGCCGAATGCTGATAATCTACCTTGTACCTCTCCAGAAAATGCTGAAAAAGCGAAAGAGACAAGAAAGAGACAACAGTGATAAATGTCAAAGTACGTGTCAAGTAAAAGTAAAAACGCCTAGGCGTAAAAACAGTGTTTTTACTCCATGTCTGAAAAGTAAAACTTTTAGCTGTGTCATTTAGTCATAAAAGTGGTCACTTTTGTGACGTTTGCAGATAAAAATATATTTTTTGCCTTCAGGTAAATGAAACGAAAATAAAAATATATTCTTTAGAAATCTTTTGCAGCCTAAAATATGTACAACTGAAATAAAGGTGTATTTTGAGGTTAGAAGTCTTTTACCTCCTTCATTACTTCATAATTTCACGTTTTTTTGGAATCTTTGTTTTTCAAATAATATTCATTTAATTTGTCATAAAACAAACTCTTATGATTATCCATTTTCCAACAATTACTAAATGTTACGGCCCGAAATACCTACTACACAATAAGATTTCAAGCTTTCAGCAAATGACTAAATACACTTCCGTCAAACGCTGTAACATTTAATGGTCTAACCGGTTACTTTGTTTGACGAGAATTATTTAGGCAATCCCTGAAATGACGTAAAATTTCAGTCAAACAAGGGAATATTCATCTGATTACAACGTCTGCCGGCAGTACGGCCAAAGACTAGGCTTTCCGCGGAATGACGCATTACGCCCAATGACTACGACATACGAACTGCGACTAGTTTAGAGAAGGAAATTCTGGTGTTGGAGGCTGCTGAACAAAATTGGCATATTGTGCAAAGAGCAATTGCAAGAGAAGTGGGATTCTGTTTATAGAATTTTAAAAAGTAACAAATTTCATCCCTGTCACATGCAGTTAGTGCAAGAACTACGAGATGCTGACTTCCCTTGTAGATTACATTTTTGTTATTTTGTTTGGGATCCAAACTTTATTAATAATGTTGTGTTTAGTGATGTTTGATTTTGTGTTTTGTGAATAGAATCGTGGCTTGTGAGCAGAGTGTGGGTGGCCACATAGATCATGGGCTATGAAATAATTAATTTTTGATTTACCTATTCCTTTTCTATAAAATAAAATTTCGATTATTCGAAAAATTGCCGTTGATTGAAATGTATTGTTGCATGTGCGTGTGACAGTGGCACTTCGTACAGCAAACTTTGATTCATGAAACTTTCAAAATTCTAATATAAATCAAGGATAAATCAATGGCTTTGTCTATTATGGGTTGTCTGCCAAGAGGGGTCAAGTGGGTCACCTAGTAGAAAAGGTAACAAAGAAGCTGAAACTTAAATTATAACTATGTTTGACGTTATTTGTGGCTTTTATTGAATTTTTTGTACTTTTACTAAATAATTATGAAAAAACATACAGGTGCGCCAGAACTCGCGCCCCAGAGAAAAATGCCATGTGGGTAAGGTGGGATTCCAGGAACATGAAAGAAATGTTAAAAAAATTCTATCTATAAAAATTTAGAAGTTATGAGAGTTTAAATTTTGCACTTTGACTCTATTTATTTCTGTTGGAAAAATAATTTTTCAAGTTTTTTTACTACGAGGAAACAAGGTAGCTGTATCCTAAATTGTAATTTTGTTTAACGTAATTTGTAGCTTTTATTGGCAAAATTTTTGTACTTCTAATAAATAATTATCCAAAAAACATATAAAAAATCATCCGTCTCATTAAATAGACATAAAAAAATGTGAAATGTCAAAAAATAAATGTCCAAATTTTTTGACAGATAGAATCTTTTAAACATTTTTTCCATGTCTCTGGTATCTTATCATACTTGAAATTTTTCTCTGGGGTGCGAGTTTTGACACATTCTGTATACAAGATCATCAGTAACATTAAATCAACATAAAATTGTATATTATGTTATTAGGAGTAAATGTGATAGTTTATGTGGAAAAGCTGAAGGTTTGTTTTGCCGAACGGAGTGAGACAAAAGATTTAGCTGAGTCACATAAACTCACTTTTACTCCAAATATCATATACTATTTTATCCGGAAACGTATTATCAAGTAAATCGACAAAATAATTAGGATGCTTTGCAGTAAAATCATAACAAACGTCTCGCGTCAGTTTAGGAATTTATATTGAGATTTTCGAATGTGTTGATTGATTTAACTAGTGAATAACTAATGTATAGTTTATAGTGCACAATGTCGAATGCTGATAATCTACACTGTATCCCTCCAGAAAATGCTGAAGCAGCCAAAGAAACAATAAAGAGACAACGACAACAATGGTAAATGTCATAATCTCATAATAAATGTCAGGTAAAAGTGAAAAACGCTTAGGCAAAAAACAGTGTTTTTCGGAGATACTTGCTTGAAATCTTTGCCTAATTGTTAGGCTACTTTATGTTTTCTTTGTATTGTTGGTTGCATACCATTTCTTATATAATAGTTGGCAACAGGTGTTACTACGGCAACCCGGCTTGTATGTATACAATTCTCTTAAATGTCATTTCCAATTATCCCAAATTCGTCTTTTTTGGCTTGATTGCAGCGTTTTTTGTGAAAAAACTTTAACTATAGTGTGTAAAAATGCGTTCGGTGCCAAAATGGGCCGACAAAATCCAAGACAACGAGAAAAAGGGCCAGACGTAAGTATTTTCAATTTTTTCATTTTCCGTGCGTTATAGCCCCCTTTCAGCATTTATGACTTGTGTTTCAACCCAGACGGCACTCAGTTGATTGTTGCGAGTGGTAATCACGTTCTAGTTTACGATACCAGCGACGGCAGTCTTGTCCAAACCCTCAAAGGCCACAAAGACAAAGTCCACGCTGTTTCGTACGCCAAAAACGGGCTGAAATTCGCCAGTGGCAGTGCCGACAAAACTGTGATAATCTGGTCGAGTAAACTTGAAGGCTTGCTCAAGTATAGCCACAGCGATTCGGTCCAGTGTATCCTGTTTAACCCCTTGTCGCACCAGTTGGCCTCTTGTGCTCTCACGGATTTCGCGTTCTGGAGCTCGGAGCAAAAGGCCGTGCAGAAGCATAAGACTAACGTTAAGATTAACGCGTGTTCGTGGACTAATGATGGACAGTACTTGGCTTTGGGGCTCAATAATGGGGTTATTTCAATCAGAAATAAGTTAGGGGAGGAGAAAGGGAGGATTGAGAGGCCCAATGGGCCGGCCATTTGGGCCCTATCGTGGAGTACGTGTAAAGAGGACCAAACTGATGTCTTGTGTGTGGCCGATTGGAATAAAACTTTGGCGTTTTACACACTTGGGGGAAAGTTGGTCGGAAAAGAAAGAAATATAGGGTTTGAGGCTTTGAGAATTAATTATTTTCCCAAAGGGGAGTATATTTTGATAAGTGGATTGAACAAGGCTTGTGTGATGTACACCAAGGATGGGATAAAACTCGATATGATTGGGGACCAGCAAAACGCCTGGGTTTGGTGCTGCGCCTCTCACCCAAGTGGGAATTTTGTGGTCATGGGGTGCCAAGATGGGACATTAGCCTACTACCAATTAATCTTTAACACTGTCCACGGATTGTACAAGGAACGATACGCATTTCGGGAAAACATGACTGACGTCATAATTCAACACTTAATAACCGAGCAAAAAGTTCGAATAAAGTGCCGAGATTTGATTAAAAAAATTGCAATTTATAAACACCGACTTGCTGTAGGTTTTTGTTATAATATTTGGCAACCATTGTGGTAATTATTTCAGGTTCAATTGCCGGAAAGGGTTGTCATCTATGAATTGTATTCGAATGATGCCAATGATATGCATTATCGTGCGAAAGAAAAAATCACCCAAAAATTAGACTGTAGTCTTTTGGTCGTGTGTACGGAGCATTTGGTTGTTTGTCAGGAGAAAAAATTGCAAAGTATGTTTTTCTCCGGCCAAAATGAGAAGGAATGGAATTTTGAGAGCCCTATCAGATATATTAAAATAATTGGTGGGCCGCCGGGGAAGGAAGGGCTGATTTTGGGGCTCAAAAATGGACAGGTTTGCAAATTTTTTTTTATTAAAAGTTATTAAAATTGAAAAAAAAACATCTTGCTTCCAAACTAAAAATAAAAAAGTAGTTGATTTTCGAAATTTAATTTAAATCAAAATTTTAATTTTATAATATTTCATTAACCAATGTTTCACTGTTCTAAAAAGATGTTTTAATTATTAAAGAACAAAACTAATCAACTTTCATAATTAAATTAAAATTAATAAAAAAGGACTAAACAATTTTTGAAATTTGAGTAAATTTATTGATTAACCATATTAATCAAATCATAAATCCAAAATTTAATTATTATCAAAAGTTTATTTTTATCAATCAATATTTATTATTATCCTCGGTATTATCACAATATTCTAATTAATTAATTAACGAAACTTTCCCACTTCAAACACTAAATTGTACAGGCTGTCCCAGCGAGTTGGTGAAGTAAGTCTATTACTGACTTTTTTACATTAACATAAAACATATTTAAGAAATTGATAGACACTAATTTAGTGCCTTGCCTAAAAATATTGTCAACTACATAGCGTGTTCCAAAAGAATGTTACTATACAAACTTTTATTGACATGATACATGATTTCGCATAAACTTCTTGCCCTCTATTATCTCTCGATAACAAAAAAAAACAAAAAAAAGAAGAAAATTCGGTACAAAAAGTTATTGTCTCAAAATAGAGATGAAAATGAGACATCTGAGGTGAAAATTTTAGAAAAAGGCATTTAACCGGGTTTGCATGCGAGCTCCTCATATGTTCCTTGACATTTCTGAATGTAGCTTTTTGTTTGTTAAAAGTTAAATAAATGGAATACCTTATTATTTTGTTTTTGCAACTAATAGATTAAATATAAAGTTATAAATGCCTATAATGGATAAATAAAAAGATATTTCACTTTTAATTTTAATTGTAGCAACAATACCTATCAATATTATAATCATTGTTGATAGCATGGCAACCATAGTAATTCCGCCACGGATTTGTTGGTTTATCCAGAGATCGTAAAAGCTGACAATATTGAAATGCGACTAGTTTTATTGTAAAAATAAAGAATGGTGGATTCATAAATGTGATTATTAAGTAATTTTTCTTCCATCTCTTGTGCAAATGTGCACTTTTAGGCTACTATTTTAGGTAGGAGTATTGGAAAGACAATTTAATAATCTCTTAGATGTAAAAACAATAAACAATGTGTTCCATTTAAATATTTTAAGTTATTGAATTTTTAACAAACGTCTTCATTTTTTTATCTTCACAAATACAACACACTAAAAATTGTTATAGTCTTACAGCTTGTATTTTTTTGCAGTAGAAAAAAATATTTCTGTTTTAGTTTTCTATAATAAATTTTTAAAGAGAGAGTACATTTTCGTCAAAATCGAGCAATAAAAGTTTAGCTTAAAAACATTGTAATAAAAAACTACATCTATAAATGCCAAGAAACATATGGTGTTCTATTTAAAAAATACAAGTTTGTATTGTAACTCATTTTTGGGACACGCTGTATAATTGAAAATAATTTTAAGCGATGCACTAAATTTGAATCTATCAATTTCCGATATACATTTTTTTTTAATTTTAACATTTAAAGATTAATAATGGACTTTACCAACTCGCTGGGATTCAGTGTTCTGATAATGTTTCTAATTAACAAAGAACGAAAACTAGTTAATTTTTAAAATTACACGACATAATTTCAAAATAAAAAATTAAAATTTCTATTTCGAAACTAGTAGACCCGAAATATTTTTTTTCAGGTTTGGGAGGTGCACTTGGACAACATCCACCCCCTCCTCAAGGTTACGGTAAACGGCGGTATCCGTTGCCTTGACTTGAGCCAGAAGAAATCCAAGTTAGCGGTGGTCGACGAAACCGGCCTTTTGCAGGTTTTCCATTCGAAAACCGGCGAATTATATTATCAAGAACCGGGCACAAACAGCGTCGCTTTTAATAATTTATACGAAGACATGGTCGCGTTCAGCGGCAACGGTTCTCTCGTGATAAAAGTATTGGATTTTCCGGCCCATCGGCAAAAAATGATGGGTTTTGTTGTGGGTTTATCTGGGGCGAAAGTATTTTGTTTGAACGGCGCATCAATGGTGACTCTCGAATTGCCATTGAGCGCCCCCATGTATCAATACATCGATAAGAAGATGTTCGATGAGGCTTACAAAGTTGCTTGTTTAGGTTTTCCTGTTACTTTTTTTGTGAAATATTTTGGGGTGAATAATTTGTTTAGGTGTGACGGATGGTGATTGGGACGAGTTGGGTCATTCGGCATTGGAAGCCCTCGAGTTTGAAGTCGCAAGATTAGCGTTTATCAAATTGCAAGATTTTCATTATTTGGAGTTGATTCAGGATTTGCAAGTAATTTTGTGCTTTTATATGGGGAACTCTAGCTTTAAATTTATTTCAAGGAACAACAAAAGAAAGGTGAAACGAATCGCGATGCTATGATTGGCGATATTTATGCACACAGAGGTAGATTGAAAGAAGCAGCCAGGTTGTATCAGAAGGCTGGACAAGAACATAAAGCTTTGACCATGTATACGGATTTAAGAATGTTCGATTTAGCACAGGTAAGCATAAATGTATTATTACAGTTAAGAACTAATTATGTAATGTGGCCAAAAATACTCAAAATCTACTCTCTTTATTGCAACATAAAATGAATAAAATGGAAATAAAAACTAATCAAGAAAAACTTTTTAAAATTTTCTTACAAAATCCTGTAAAAAATATTGCAGAAGTATTTAGATAGAGCTTTGTTAATAAAAGGACCATGAAATAATAAAGATTAAAAAATCTGCCGTGATACGGCAAAACCTAGTAACTCACTTTAATGCAATTTGACAGGAAAGTATATTTTAGAAAACTCTCTAGCCTTTTTGTTGTAATTACATTTCCAAAACTAGTTTCTTGGTTATACACTTAATTTTAAGCACCCAATTTAATGAAATACATTAAACATATGTAATTTTACTGAAACACAGTTACTAGGTTTTGAATGAAACATAAACACTCTTGCGAATAATGGCATTATAAACTAGTAACTTAAGTTACAAGGTTTTACCAAACGTATGAATAAAATATTATTTGTCAACAAGAATACGTAACTCTACTTACAAGATTTACATGCATAAAAATTGAACTATAAAAGGGGTGCATAGCCTAGCAACTTGAGTTGCTAGTTTTTTCATGCATAAAAATTGAAATATAAAAATGTGCAAAACCTAGTAACTCGAGTTGCTAGTTTCTACAGACGTATAGGTAGATATTTTCCCAGATACGAAAAAAAATGAGAGACGCAAATAAGTAAAACTGTGCGTCAGGCAAAGACGAAAAATATTCAAGTAGGTAAGTTTTGGCGCTAATTTCAAAAATACCATAAATTAGCAAAACCTAGTAACTCTAGTTACTAGCTTTTGCCGTATCACGGCAGAAATGTCCGGAAAGTCGTGCACTTCCTTGAAAGGGAGTACTTGGGTAGTTCTCCAGACTACTGAAAAAATGTTTAAAAAACCCTCTGTCAAAAAATTTTGATATTTATTTTTTGACATTTGATGTTTTTTTATTTAATTTTAATGATACTGATGATCTTGTATAATTATTTTTTATAATTATTTACTAAAGGTACAAGAATTTTGTCAATAAAAGCCACAAATAACAATAATCAAAGTTACAATTTAGGATACAGCTTCCTTCTTCTAATAGCCTGTAGCAAAAAAACTTAAAATTATTTTTCAAACAGAAATAAATAGTCAAAGTGCAAAATTTAAAGTTTCATAACTTTGAAATTTTTATAGATAGATTTTTTCAACATTTTTCCTGTTGTCTAGGGCACAAAACATTATAAATTTTCATTGTTTTTGCCACAATGTTCAATATAAAATAGTAACAATACAGGGTGTGTCAGAACTCAGGCCCCAGAGAAAAAGTCAGATAAGATACCAGGAACATGGAAAAAATGTTTAAAAATTTTTGACATTTTTTTATTTTTTGACATTTGAATTTTTTTATGTCGTTTTAATGATACTGATGATCTTGTATAGGTATGTTTTTTTATAATTATTTAGTAAAGGTACAAAAAGTTTGCCAATAAAAGCCACAAATAATAAATTTAGGATACAGCTTCCTTGTTTATTCTTCTAATAGCTTGTAGCAAAAACTTGTAAAATTATTTTTCCAACAGAAATAAATAACAAAATTTAAACTCTAACAATTATTATAGACAGAATTCTTTTAACATTTTTTTCATGTTCCTGGTATCTTACCTTACATTTTTCTCTAGGGCGCGAGTTCTGGCGCACCCTGTTTAGATACACTACTGCAAAAAATTAAAAAAACAAAAAAATTCCTAAATGTTTGGTGATACATACAGGGTGAATATAAAGTATGGAACCAAGCGGTCTTATTTTTAATCATTTGCCTCCGGAAAATAATTAATAAATAAATTAAAGTAATATAAAAAATGTGATCGTAATTTCAGAACGAAATTTTGTTTTGTTTTTGAGTTATGCGATTTTTTTTGTCAAAATTGCAATTTATGTAAAAAAAAATTTTTGAAAAAATTAAAAATAAAGCAGATAGTTGTAATCCTTAGAGTATAGCTTTTATGAGAAAAATGATTTTATAGTGGGTTGCCATTTAAAAATATTATTTTTTTTGTAGAACTCAAAAATAAAAGGAAATGTCGAAAAATTTTATTCTTGTTAAATCATCACATTTTTATAGTACTTTAACATTCATCAATTAGTTTTTTCAAAAAATAAATACTTTAAGCAAAAAACGTTTGGTTCCATACTTTTTATTCACCTGGTTCTTGAAAGGCTATATCTCAGTGAAGAATGGTCGTATCTAGATTAAAAAAAAAACATTTTGAAGCTTCAAGTTTCTAGTTTTGAAATCTTTTGGCAACAAATTTTTCTGTGCTACGATTATCATGCAATCCTAAGAAATAACGCGAGAAAAGAGAATTGTAATTTTTGTTTTGTTTTTTGGTCCACGGACTTGTGGAATTTTTTTACTTACCTAATCAATGCATGGGCTGTATAATTTCTTAATTTTGCTTTAATATGCTATTTTTATAATTTCCTCACGTCAATTTGTCGCTAAGACAGGTAACTGGCTTTAAGTGAAAAGGGATCCTTTTGTGTTTGATCCTCGATGTCTCTGCAACCAAAGAATGTAAGGATAGTTTCAAAAACTGAAATAAATGATCCTTTTACGATTTTTTGAAAAACTTTTTTTTTAAATTTTCCACATTGATTTAAAGGAAAGAGAAAAAAGTAACTTTTTGCTACAAATATTGATGGGAAGACTAATTTTTTAAGTGTTTTTATAGTTTAGTGTACCTCCCATAGCCCTGTAAATTTTTAAATTGATGTAATTAATAATCGAAAGAATATGTTTTCGTCAAAAAAACCTAAGAAATCGACCACTAAAAGTTTATCTTAAGAACATTGTAGTCATTGTAGTAAAAAGCTACATCCAAAAATGCCAATTATGGTGTTTTATTTAAAAAAATATAAGTTTGTATTAAAACTTAATTTTGGAACACGCTGTATAGATGAAAATAATTTCAGGCGATGCACTAGATTAGTACAACCTATCAATTTCCAGTATAATGTTTAAAAAAAAAATCATAATGGACTTTACCAATTCGTTGGGACACCTGTCTAGTAATTGACGCAAAACTGTTTTCAAGAAGATTAAATTTGTATATTAAATAACAGTTTTCAAAGATTTGAAAAAAGCTCAAAACCACGTTGATTTAGACTTTGTACTCTATGAACGCTAAACGAGGTTTTGTGGATTTATTTTTCTCAATTTGTTTTGTGTTATTTTTTGAAGGAGTACCTCGGTTCGAGCGACAACACCGACTTGATCCGCCAGAAGGCCGATTGGGCCAAAAACATAAACGAACATAAAGCCGCTGCCGAAATGTACTTATCAGTGGGCGACACGCAATCTGCGATTGATATTTACGGCGAAAAGGGATGGATTGATCAGTAATTTCACATTTTTTTTACATATTTCTGTATAAAAAAAAATCAGACTTACAGAATTGGGTCGCCGTCTCGACAAAGCCGAGAGATCGGCTCTGTTATCAATTGCCGAGCATTTGAAACGTCTAAATCAGCCCTCGTTCGCCGCGGAGATTTACCGCCGTTTGGGCGATTCGGCCTCAGTTTTATCCCTACATGTTGAGGCGAAAGAATGGTCGCAAGCCTTTTCTTTAGTCCAGACACAGCCCCAATATAAAGCTCTGGTTTACGTACCATATGCACACTGGTTGGCCGAAAATGACAAGTTTGTGCAAGCACAGAAAGGTTGTAATTTGAGAATTTCTTTGATTTTTGAAGTAATTTTGAAACTTTAGCGTTTTATAAGGCAGGAAGGCCCGACGAAGCTTTTAAAGTTTTACAACAGCTTGTTGATAATGCGATTAGTGAGTGTAGGTTTCAGGATGCTGGGTATTACTACTGGATTGTTGCGAGGCAGTTTTTGGATTTAGCCAAAGATGGGTCTGTTGTATTTTAGTCGTGTCTATTTTCACGCAGTGATAAATATTTTTGATAATAGTAAAATAAAATTTTCGTTTTCATTACAAGTGTAAATAGACAGGACCTTTTATTTTTTTGAGTAATTTTTACATGAAGTTAGCAAACAAGTTGAAGCACTAACGACAAGTTCTTGCTATACAGGCTGCCTCAAAGTAAATACATTTTAACCACGTGCAGAAGTCGTCAAATACAATTTTTTTTATGTGCATTTTTTCAAAAATGCAGTTGTTAAGTTAAAATTATAAATTGTTTTCTTGTAGAATCTCGTACCTACCGTTGATTTGTTATTAGGTTGAAACAAATAACAAATATCACCTTATTATTTATTTATAAACGTTGTAAAATTGATTAATGTTCATTAACATTTATTACTTCAACCATAAAATTATGTTTATAATTAAATTTATGTTCATTAACAGAAAGCTAAAAGAATTATTTTTACAAAATTACATAGATACTAATTTTTGCATTGTAAAATTCCAAAAACTCACCAATTTGTTTATTTTGATGTAATAGACGCTGCTCAGCACTTAACAATAATACCTCGAAAAATACATTTGGAACAGTTTCCATACGCTAGCATAATTTCCATATTTTAATGTCCGGCATTTTATCAGAAAATGGGTATTTAAAAAAAAATAACTAAACGTAAATAATAATTGTCAGTTGAACGCGCCTCCACTCCGGTCGAAAGACGCAAAAAAACTCCCTAACAAATTCACGTTCACTGCTTTTAATTGATCTGAACGGTTGTTATTTTACAAGGGGTAAAATGTTTAAAAAATATCGATTTCGAAGAAATGATACATAACAATACTTGTTCTTGACATCAGTCGCTTCTCGTTAAAATTAATGAACTTATTTCTGAGACACGTTGTATAGTACCGTGCGATCAAATAAAAAATAAATTAGAGTAGGCGTCGATTAAATTCTACAGTTGGCAAAACATTGGCTGGAAATTTTCCACACAAACTGAAAGTGAAAATGACCAAAAATGACCAACATTTTCTGCTCTAAAGTGAACATTATTTCACTCAAAAAGAATAAAACTCAAACTTGTCAAAGTTTCCGCCGACATTTGATGTCAAAAATCAGGATTGCCATCTGAAGGACTTTAATCACCGCCTACTCTAATTTATTTTTTCTTTTGATCGCACGGTAGTTTGTGCTTTGTCAGTACGTCATACATAGTGCTTCATATCTCAATGGTGGCGAAACAAAAAATTGTTATTTTTCTAATTATTTTTCAACGCAATAGCACGAATCGTGTGGATTTCGATTTTATTTACTACTTCGTTAATGTTTTAATGCAGCAAAAAATATGTAAAATTATTTTTCTATTTTGCGTCTGAAAGAAAGCTTATTTTGATAGCAAAACCGATTCTTTAATGAGCCATTTCAACACCGATTTGGATGCTGAAATAGACTAGAACAATTTACTGTTTAGAGGTTAGAAATGGTGATTTTCAGCGACGTTTTGAGCGATTTCTCTTTTTTCAGGTGGTATGCATGAAATTTTTGCAGTATTCATTGTTAATTCAACAAAATTTTGAGAAATACTTGAGACGACTTGACACTTCAAAAATGGAACTTTCAAACTTTGTTACATTTATTACCAACCACAACCTTATTGTTTCATAAGTCATTTGTGGGAACTCTTCCTTTATAAAACTCGCGCTTTGCTGCTCGTTTCACAAAACTTAAACTCTTTCCACAAAACTTGCCTTACGAAACGCGTTTTTTAATAGTATATTAGTTTCCAACAGGAATAAATAGGGTCAAAGTGTAATATTTAAACCTCTATAATTTTAAAATTTTTTTCCATGTTCTTGGTATTTACCTTATCTTACTTGGTATGCTGCTCAAATGCATGGGCTAATCGCACATTATATAACTTTTAACAATAATTAATTTTTAATACTCCTTCTATAAACCGACACTTAGTTTTAGCAGATTTTTAATAAAATGACCATATTTTTAGCTACTGTCAATCATAGTTGACAAGTTGTATGTACATATTTTTGATAGGAAAATAGAATAGCTGTTATTAATTTGAAATTGTCATTCATTTTAACGTTAAAGCTTGAATTACATTAAAGTGTCAGAAAAGTGACGACCAAAGTATTTCGTCTCCAACTGTACAAAAAATCTTTATTTTATTTAAAATTTGCTAACACTGGGACATGATGACAAAGCTTTTTAAAGCACTAACGAAATACTATAAATAAATTTCCAAATACTTTAATTAGTGTTTCAATTATTATGCTAAAAGAATTTTTAGAAAAAAAAAAGATTTGTTAACACTGGAACTTGGAAGCACTAATAAAGCACTAAGCAATGTTTAAACTTAAGATTAGTGGTTCTAATTTTTTATTTATACCCTAATTTATAACATTTTTTGTTTGTTTCACTATTACATTAAGATGTGAAGCACTAATGAAATAGGTACCAACTAGTGACAAGAATGTATCCCAGTGATTCAATTTGCTGCTAACTTGCCTTATCTTATTTTTATTGTTGCTGCGATTGTAGCACAAACAATCAGAGCGAAATGTTGGCAAATTATGAGATCAATGATCGTCTTGCTGGCATTTATTACGCATTTCATGCCGTCCATCGATATTTGGAGGAGCCTTTTACATCCTACATGCCGGAAGCTTTATTTAATATCGCGCGATTTTTAATGACTGAGACTAGTCACAACAACAGACCAAAAGGAATTTCTCTATTGTAAATGATTTCAAATTAAATAAATAAAGCTTTTAATTGGTGATTTCCAGCGCAATTTTGTATTGTCTCTCAAAACAAGCGCGCAAATTGGGCGCAAATAAACTCGCAAAACAGATTCTAGATCGGATGCAAACCCTCCGAATTCCGCAAAAATTTCAAGAACAAGTCGAAATTGCGACGATTGCTGCCCGAGCTCGGGCTTATAGCGATCCAGAAGAATTGCTACCAATGTGTTATCGCTGTTCGACTTATAATCCCTTGGCAAGTGCCAGTAATAGATGTGTGAATTGTGGTCAAAAGTTTGTCCACTCGTATGTCAGTTTTGGTAAGTTGACTTAAGATTATGTTAATTGGAATAACAGAGGGCGACAAAAAAAAGTCAGTCGTGACAACTTGATAAATTATATATCATTTTGTTCGTCTCAGTGAGACAAATCAAATGCACTAAAAAAAATTTCAAAAAGTCCACGCACTTTGAACTAATTAATTTTTTTCTGATTTAAATGAATTTAAAATACTTTAACTTTAAAAAATCATTACTCAATAACTATTACGCCAATTTTCTTTAAATAAAGACCATTCTAAAGGGATGGATTTGCCCTTTAGAATTGTATAAAATTTGAAATTGAATATTGGCAAACTTTTTTTCGAGCAGTGTTCGAAGAAGTTCGAAGTAAATCGAAATAATCTAAGAAAAACCCTACGAGTAATTTTTTTTCCATCATTACCATCGTGTAGAGAAAAAATATACCGAGTAGTTTTCAAGATATGATTTTTTGAAGTTAAGATTTGCTATTCAGGTATTGCGCCATATAGGAGAAATGCATGTTAATCTTACTTAAAATTGCATTTTTATAAAAGTATTTGTTTTAAGACTCTTCTTTTGCTTAAAAATGGTTAATTGCACCTTCTTTGTTCTAATTAGAATAAACAAAAACTGTTTCTTTACTTAAAACAAACAAAGAGTACCTGTGAACTAATTAAATCAAATAAAGAGTTTTTTTGTTGTAAAAATGATCACTGATCATTGAGCAAAGAGGATCTAGAAGTTTAAGGCACGAGCCTTAAATATAAGGGCAAATCTTTTTCACATCAAATCACTTTCCATTCAGATTTCGACTTGTTCACTTTGTTCTAGCTTTCTGAACTTTTTTTGAAAATGTTCTTAGCAAATGCTTTCTCAGCACTTTTGAGTGATGTTAAATGCAATAAGTCACCTGATTTATTTTGTTGGTCCATTCTACGATTAGCTTCAGTTAGCTTGTAGGTAGTAGTTGTTGTGATAACAGTTGCACACGAAGCAACTGACTTATTGCATTCAACATCACTTGAAAGTGTTAGAATCTGAATGGAAAGTGATATAATTTGAAAAAGATTTGCTCTTATATTTAAAGCTACTGCTTTAAACTTCTAGATCCTTTTTGCTTAATAATCAGTGATCATTTTTAGAACAAAAAAAACTCTTTATTTGCTTCAACTAGTACGCAAGTACTCTTTGTTTGTTTTAAGTAAAGAAACAGTTTTTGTTTATTCTAATTAGAACAAAGAAGATGCAATTGACTACTTTTAAGCAAAAGAAGAGTCTTAAAACAAATATTTTTATAAAAATGCAATTTTAAGTAAGATTAACATGTATTTCTCCTATATGGCGCAATGCTTGAATAGCAAACCTTTACTTCAAAAAATCATATCTTGAAAACTACTCGGTATATTATTTTGAAAATTTGGATTCTTACTAATAAAAAGATGCTCTACACGATGGTGATGAAGAAAAAAAATTTACTCGTAGGGTTTTTCTTAGATTACTTCGATTTACTTCGAAAGTTTGCCAATATTCAATTTCAAATTGCATATCATCCTAAAGGGCAAAGCCATCCCTTTAGAATGGTCTTTATTTGATAGTTATTGAGTAATGATTTTTTAAAGTTAAAGTATTTTAAATTCATTTAAATTAGAAAAAAATTATTTAGTTGAAAGTGTGTTGACTTTTTGAAATTTTTTAGTGCATTTGATTTGTCTTACTGAGACGAACAAAATGATATAAAATTTGTTGTCACGACATGACTTTGTTTTTGTCGCCCTGTGTAATGATCACTTGCAGAAATTTTGCCTTTGGTCGAGTTTATCTTGCAAGACGGAATCACCGATATAGAAGCCGTTCGTTTAATTGAAACTCCTCCTAATGATCTTGGAAAAGAAGAAAATTGGAAACAAGAAATATCGGAAAGTCGGGAAACTCTCCAGTTGGATATTGACGAGGAAGAAAAAGATCCTTTTACTGCAAGACTTGAGGTTTCTAACAATTTCGAGTTGGTTTTGTCTTAGCAATTTTTTTGTAGAGCGGATCGGGCGATGGAAATAATTTCTCACCGGTCACAGTTAATAAAAAGATTCTTTTAGCAATGGATAGTAGTTCAGTTTTGATTTGTAAATGGGGGCCTCCATTGCGGTACCAGTTTTTCAAAAATTTGCTACCCGAATTGCAAATAACGATGTGTAATTCGTGTTTTAAGGTATTTTGGTTTTGTGTTAAAATAATTAAAATAAACTGGATTTGTTGTTTTAGGCATTTCATGTTGATGATTTCGAGTTACAGCTACTACAGAAGGGCTATTGTCCCTTTTGTAGGGCACCTCCAGAGAATTCCTTAAATAGTGATTCAGTTGATGACTTATTAGTGTGATAAAATGTAAATTATTACCTTTTTCCGTCCATAAATGTGATTAAATGTAAGGTTTTTTTATTTGAACCACTTTCCAATTTAAATTTGGCGCTTTGTGTAGGTAGCGCTAGTGTCGATTTTTGCATATCCGGATGGCAAGTCGGCCATTTTTTTCTCTTCTCCAATTTGTTGTGTTTGAGGTAGGTGTTTTACGAATTTTTCATTGAATTTATAAAAAGAAAATGCAAAATTTATTGGAAAACAGTTTTCCAATGTCCTAAATTCATATTTATCACTTCATTGGTGCGTAATTAGAGATTTTCACAATTTTATCGCACAGTGTGGAACTACCACGTGGGAGAGAGAATTGAAACTCAACTTTGAATAAAACAATTTTTTTTTAATTTTCAGGTACACAATGTCTGCCCATTTAGTGTGGAGTATTATCCGCAATAATAACGCTTTTTTGCGTAAAAAGCGCAACATTGGGAAACCTTTCAGTACTGTAAGTACGTATTTGAATTAATTATTTTTTTCTAATTAATAACATGATGATTTTTACCACCAAGATCTCCGAAAGTTATGACGATGACTTATTAAATCTGAGGTTTTTTAAAATTACATAAAACTTGATTTTAGTTACTCAAATTTAATACAATATGATTTCTAGGAACCCAACAATTTGACAAACGTGAGTTCGTACAGATACAATGGCTTGATCCACAAAAAAACTGTGGGTATTGTGGACGCACCTGATAAGAAAGGCTTCACCGTCGTGTACAAAAAGTCTAATAAACAGGTAATTAAAATCAGTAATTTTGCAACAAAAATATTTAGTTTTTTTTTCAGAATAAGCCAAGGCAATGTATTGTGAAAAGGACGATGAAATCGGGGCCTAGGAGGTCTTTGGCCAAGCTGGAAAGGCTTTTGAAGGCCAACAAATACCGAACTGACTTGACCAAGGCGGCCCTTCGCAGAGCCAGCGCCGTTCTCAGGTCACAGAAACCTCTACCCGCCAAAAAACCAAAGGCGAAGAAACAAGAATAACTTTGATTTAAATAAAGTTTCGTATTATAATTCTTGAGTTTGATTCTGTTAACATAACCTCAAACATGTAACGTGTTAGTGTGAAATGGCCACATCAGAGCATTTGGCTTCGTCAGATTTTATAAAATCGGTGCATAAAAAATTACGAAATAATGCAAAAGCTTTGGGAGTTAACAAAGCTTGGCAGAAACATTGTGAAGATGAGGAAAATCTAACTAAATACGCCTTAGAAATGCAAAATCTTGCAACAAATCACTGGGAGAATACAAAAAACGTTAAAGCTGCTTCAAGAGTCGAGTGGGTGTATAATTTTTGCGAGAAATATTTTCTAGAGGAAATTTTCAAACATAGACAACGAGAGCTCGAGATTGCTAGAAAACTCAATTGGGAAGTGCCAGATTTTGCATTGGTTGTGAAAAATCGGAAACTTGAACTATTGGATGTGGGGAGTTGTTATAATCCTTTTAAAAAATACCCTTGTTTTAGTGTTACCCCAATAGATATAGCTCCTGCCACTAGTGATGTCTTTAAGTGTGATTTTCTAAATGTAAATTTAACTTCAAATCATTGTGAAAACGATTTGGAAATAATTGGACTAGAAAAAGAATCGTTTGACGTAATAGTTTTTAGTCTCTTATTGGAATATTTGCCTTCACCAATCCAAAGACACGCTTGTTGTGAAAAAGCTTACGATTTATTAAAACCAGAAGGCATTTTAATTATTATAACTCCCGACTCGAAACATGTAGGGGCGAACGCCAAAATTATGAAATCGTGGCGTTTTATTTTAGCCAAAATGGGTTTTTCACGTATTAGATATGAAAAGTTATTGTATTTACATTGTATGGTGTTTAGAAAAAGTCTAAAACGTGAAATAGCCCAACGTTGGGCCCACTTACAGAGTGGGAAACCTTATTACGAGGAAATTGTCATCCCGCAGGATTTCAACAAATCTGAAGCAACTTCAGGTGTGACAAATGATGCTATTAACAACTATGAAGTGTCTTTATTTGATGAACTGCCCCAAAGTGTTGAATAAATTTTTATTGTTTTTTTGATGTGTTTGATTCAAATAGCCCGCCTTATGAAAGTTAGGGAAATTTACTATACCCGGAAATGGTTATTTTATTTTAACAAACTGAGGCACTTTCGGATTCACTTTTAAAATCATTTTTACGAAAGAACTTGTACCATAAATACGTGTTGAATATTTTTTTTATTGTTTGTTCAGTGTTTTTTATTTGTTTCGAACTGCCCGCCTGGTGGAAAACGTAAAGTCCCTAAAATTATTGAAAATTTGTGACAGTTGCAGGAAGAGGAGTGTTGTGTGTTTTGACATTCTCGCGTTTTTATTGTTGTTTATTTACGTAACAATGAAAGAATGAACGAGTGATTCATACCTCAAGTGCTTTTAATTACTTTAATTAATCGAATTAACAATAAAAATGTCACTGAGTGCCAGTGCTGAGAACCTAACAGTGGAAACCCAGGTGTGTCCCAACTTTTCCTTTTAAATTCCCCCCCAAATAGGGAAAGTAATTAGAATAATTTAAAGGACTATGACGGCTCCAGCAATATGTGCTTAGAACTGGCCTTGGAGGGCGAGCGACTGTGCAAGGCGGGCGACTGCAGGGCTGGAGTGGCTTTTTTCCAAGCCGCAATCCAGGCCGGAACTGACGACTTGCGGACGCTAAGCGCCATTTACAGCCAACTCGGAAACGCATATTTTTATCTAGGAGATTATGGCAAAGCCATGCAATATCACAAACATGATCTCACTTTGGCCAGGTATTGACTAACCACATTTAGAATTGGTCATATGGTGACTTGTTTAGGACAATGGGTGATAAACTGGGCGAAGCGAAATCCTCGGGCAACCTGGGCAATACTCTCAAAGTGATGGGGCGATTTGACGAAGCGGTGGTGTGCAGTAAACGGCATTTGGAGCTTTCAAGAGAATTGGGCGATAGATTAAGCGAAGGCCGAGCATTGTATAATTTAGGAAATGTCTTTCATGCCAAGGGAAAACATATTGGGAGGGTGGGGCACAAGGATCCGGGGGATTTTTCAGACGATGTCAAGGGCTGTCTCCAAGAAGCTGTCACTTATTATGAGTAAGTTGTTTATTTAATTGATAAAAAGAGTTCATTCATTGAAATTTATGTTTCACGGCGATAAGGAAGAGGTCAAGCTCGTTCATTCCGATTTCAATTTTTTTGTAATTTATTTCATTTATTTTAATTATCGACCGATAAAACTACAATTTTTTGTTGTAAGACATTTTAATGCAGAATTGTAACCTTAGTGCAATGCTACGTATTAAGAAAACTACATTCCAGGGTTTTATGACTTATGCAACATTCATTGATTAAATAAAAAATGGTGATTTTCGAAATTTTGAATAATTTTTTTTGATATCAATAAGTGCTGCCGCACAACGGTGGAGATCCCTAGAATCTCCAGATGATTTTTAATAACAACAAAATAAATTTTAAGACGATAGTAGCCCCAGATTTGCAGTGTTTCAGTTTTATTTTACAATGGGCTTTAGTGATATCTAAATACGAAAAGTACAAAGGGATAAGTAAAGATAGAAATAATGATGATGTCAATGGTGCAAATTGTTTTTTTTTTTATCAAAGAAGGTTCTAAATTCTAATTCACCGCTGAAATCTGTTGTTTTCATAACGTTATTGATATACAATGTGCGCCAGAACTCGCACCCCAGAGAAAAATGCTATGTAAGGTAAGATACCAGGAACATGGCAAAAATGTCAAACAAATTCTAATATTAAAAAAATTTCGAAGTTAGGCGAGTTTAAATTTTGAACTTTGACTTTATTTACTTGTGTAGGAAAAATAATTTTCCAAGTTTTTTTGCTACAGGCTATTAGAAGCGGAGACAAGGAAGCTGTACCCTAAATTGTAACTGTTTAATGTTATTTGTGGCTTTTATTGGCAAAATTTTTGTACCTTTACTAAATAATTTAAAAAAATCATATACAAGATCATCAATATCATTAAATAGATATAAAAAAGTCAAATATCAAAAAATAAATGTCAAAATTCTTTTAACATTTTTTCCATGTTTCTGATATCTATCTTATCTTACTTGAAATTTTTCTCTGTGGCGCGAATTTTAACAAAGCCTTATTTACAAATTTGTGATAAGTGATAACCGATAACGTGATAACCTTCATTTTTTTTAATACTGTAAAGTTTGTTTCATTTTATAGACAATTGTCAAAATGTTGTTATGTTGGTAAAGCTTACGCGTTAACCGCTAATAGTGAATTTCAAATTCACGATTGGCAGCTTTGCATATAACTGTCATTGTTACTTTTGTCATTCCATTGCGCCTGAATGAGTTTTTGGCTGAGATTGCAAATTAAAGGCTTGAATTACTTGTTTGCTTCGTATTTGAATCGTGTCTTTTATTTAAATTTCTATAAATAAAACTGACGTATGACAGTTCTTAACCATAACCTCGCTAAACTGTATACCGCTAGTCCATATATCGCAGTTTTAGGGTTGTACAGTATGGTTTTTCAGAAAATTTTGACATTTACAATTGTTTATTAAATGAAACAGACTTTACATATTCATTTATACACAATTTGGGGTTTATTTATTTATTTTTTCAAAATGTTTGATTTTATTTTCTACTGAGTTAATGATTTTAGTACTTTGATTCAATGTGAAGTTTTATTTGTCTTTATCACTGGTTATTGATGAATCAATATGAACAAAAAAATTTTGAATATTTGCCAAGTGGCGTTTTAATATTGGATTTTGAAAAACATTACACATTTTTTTGCGCAATTGAGCTCTATTTCATTGTTTACTACGTTTGTTTCCAAGACAGTAAGTTATGTTTACTCGTTGCTATCCCAAACTCGTCGGTAAGCATTTTGTTTATTGTTGCTAAGTCGGTAAGCATTCAAAAATGTTCTAGACTAGCAAAATGGTAAAATACTTTGCCGTTCTAGAACATTTTTTAGATATTTTATTCAAAAATCAATCGCGCAAAAAATGTCATAAGCATCACGAACGTTAAGGACTTACCGTTCTTGATGATGTATACTATAAAGTAATAGAACTTTGGATTTTTTTTTTTTCATTACCTCTGACAAGAATTACTAATTTCAATTTTTTTAATGAGCTTTCGGTACAAACTCATGTTTTCTTTATGACCGGCTTACTTAGAGGTTTGCACAACTATTTTTTTAAGATTTTATTTTGGAAATCTTTGAAAATATGCACATTTCATAAGAGCATATGCATTTATTGTGTCAAAATATGCAGATATGCTCTTTTATGCATTTTGCATACAATACAAGCTCAACTTATGATAAATCACATTATTCGGATTTGAAATTCTCGGACAACTCATTTTATATTCAACTGAAAAATAAACACTTAAGTATAAGATTTTATAGTAATTCTAATTTTAACAAATGCCTGAATCTAAGTAGAAATACCGGTCTGGCTGCTACTTATTTTTCATAGTTTTATGAATTGGCTAACGAAAAAATTTCCTATTTTTAAGTTTTTGTTGAATTAATTAAAGAAAAAAATACGTTTATTTTAGATTGGTCTGTAGGGAACTAAATACGTACTAGGAGGCGAAACGAGGTACAAAATCGCTCGATTTTCTGTACCCAAAAAAATATAGTACGCAAAGTAAAAATAAGGGCGCTTCCAGCGTTATACCGTCTCGGCTCCATGTCGTTTTAAGTTAATTTAAATTCAACCAGTTTACTAATTGCTTGGAAAAAATGCAGAAATGTTGAGCTTTACATTCTCAATAGGCTGTGAAAAATATTAAAAATTAAAATTTTTGCTCCTTTCATATTTTTCAAAATTCTGTGAATACGGTTGAAAATACAAAAAAGTGTTTAGAGAATTAATTTCCTGCAAAAAAGTCCGAAGACCATATCTCTGTCTTTAACCGTTCAGGTTTAAATTAATTTTCCGTTACTTTTTTTGTATCTTCAACTGTATTTGCAGCATTTTGAAACATATGCGAAACATGTGCAAATTGGTAAAATTGAATTTTTTTTAAATATAGTTTTCGATAAAATTTTTGCATTACCTTTATCTCTTATTATTGAGAATTTAATGCTATATCTGCCTGAATTTTTTGTTTGTGTTGTGCTCACCGTTATTTAAATACAGCCATTTTTTATTTGATTGCTCCTAAAACTTAGACGGGAAAAGAATCTGGCTACACTAACTAATCTTTCGCGTCGCGTCGCATCCTAATCTTTAAGTAGATTGAAGACAATATTTTCATAATTTTGTTATGAAACTCTTGCACCAAGAAGATCTTTAAAAAATTTTTAAATACTACATATAATCAACTGAAATTTCCCCTATTTTGAGTTATGATAGTCTTCGTTGCATGGGTCGATATGATAAGTAATTTTTTTAATGGGCTTTGGCGATAGGAAAAACCAGTTTTCCGCTTTCATTTTGTTGTTTTTCCCATTTTTTTGCACTTGTCGGAAACAACATTTGACGTTATCTTTTTAATTTCGTATTCGTAAACGCATATTTTGGTAATAAAATCTCGATATAAGCATACTACACGTATCAACAAATAATTCCCAGAAATACGTATTAATCAGTCGAGTTATTTATGGGGTGGCTTATTTTGATTATTTTAAGGGAAAACTTGACACTGATGCGCGAACTCGGCGATGTAGCGGCACAAGGAAGAGCTTGTGGTAATTTGGGCAACACGTTTTATCTATTGGGCGATTTCGCACAAGCCATACATTACCACGAAGAAAGACTATCGATAGCGAGACAATTCGGCGATAAAGCAGCCGAAAGAAGGGCACATAGTAATCTCGGAAATTCGCATATTTTTATGGGACAGTTTGAAGAAGCCGCTCACCATTACAAGTAAGTCAAAAGCGATGTTTTGGTTTAGTTTGAAAAAAATATGTTTTTAGACGAACTCTAGCTCTGGCTCAGGAATTAGGCGATCACGCGGTCGAAGCTCAGGCTTGTTACAGTTTGGGTAACACTTACACGCTATTGAGAGATTATGAAACTGCCATCGAATATCATTTGAGACATCTTTTAATCGCGCAAAATTTGGCCGATCGTATAGGAGAAGGTAGGGCCTGTTGGTCGTTGGGTAACGCGAACGCGTCGTTGGGAAATCACGAAAAGGCGCTGCAATTCGCGAAAAAGCATCTTGAAATTAGTAAAGAGGTAAGTTTAGTCCGGTCAAAATAGACATTTCAAATAACTAAAATTCCGACAGAGCTAAATTTTGGTGGAGATCTTGGGTACACCATTAGGAATAAAGTGTCAAAAGTCCCCATCCATTCCATGTGTGCTAAAAAAGTTATTTGGTGTCAAAGGGCAAAATTTGACGTTTTTTAGATTTTTTTTGAAAACGGTATGTTTTATCGAAAAAGTAGCCCAGACAAAAATTATAGATCTTGAAATTATCTACAAAAATGGTCTTTATCCTTTTTTTCACCATTCCTGAGATATCGCGATCCTAAAAGTTGAAGGAGTCACGTTCTACATGATAATCACATACAGAGTGCGCCAGAATTCACGCCCCAAAGGTAAATGCCATGTAGGGTAAGGTACCAGGAACATAGAAAAAATTAAAAAGAAATTCTATCTATAAAAATTGCAAAGTTATTAGAGTTTAAATTTTGCACTTTGACTCTTATTTATTTCTGTTGGAAAAATAATTTTCCAAGTTTTTTTGCTACAGGCTATTAGAAGCGGAAACAAGGAAGTTGTATCCTAAACTGAAACTCTGTTTAATGTTATTTGTGGCTTTTATTGGCATAAATTTTATACTTTTTTTACTAAATAATTGTAAAAAAACATATACAAAATCATCAGTATTATTAAATAGACATAAAAAAATGTCAAATGTCAAAAAACAAATGTCAAAATTTTTTGACAGATAGAATTTTTTAAACATTTTTTTATGTTCCTGGTATCTTATCTTACTTAAAATTTTTCTTCTACTTCATTAAACTTATAAATATCTCGATTCCATTAATTAAAAAGAATTTATTTGGTAATACATACAGGGTCATGCACTTCCTTGAAAGGGAGTAATTGGGTAGTCCCCAGAGTACTGAAAAAATGTTTAAAAATCCTATCTGTCAAAAAATTTTGACATTTATTTTTTGACATTTGACATTTTTTTATGTCTATTTAATAATACTGATGATTTTGAATATGTTTTTTTATAATTAGTTAGTAAAAGTACAAAAATTTTGTCAATAAAAGCCACAAATAACATTAAACAGAGTTACAGTTTAGGATACAGCTTCCTTGTTTCCGCTTCTAATAGCCTGTAGCAAAAAAACTTGGAAAATTATTTTTCCAACAGAAATAAATAGAGTCAAAGTGTAAATTTAAACTCTCATAACTTTGAAATTTGAATTTTTTTAATGTTTTCTATGTTATTGGTACCTTACCCTACATGGCATTTGTCTTTGGGGCGCGAGTTCTGGCACACTCTGTATGTGCATATAATGTAGAACCTTACTATTTCAACTTTTAGAATCGCGATATCTTAGGTATGGTGATTCTTAGAAAAAAAGTATAAAGACCATTTTTGCAGATAATTTTAAGATCTATAATTTTTGTCTGAGCTACTTTTTGATAAAACTTACCGTTTTCGAAAAAAAAAACTAAAAAACGTCAAATTTTGACTTTTGACCCCGAATAACTTTTTTAGCACACATGGGATCGATGGGGACTTTTGACACTTTATTTCTAATGGTGTACCCAAAGTCTCTACCAAAATTTAGCTCTGTCGGAATTTTCGTTATTTGACCACTATTTTTATGACTAATTTGACCGGACTAAGTTGATTTATTTCGAATGAGTATTTTTGTGACTTGTGTTGGGTTTAGTTGGGTGATCCGATGGGTGAAGCGACGGCGAAAATGAACATTGCTGATCTACGAAAAATCCTCAATTTGCCCGACAGTCCCGAATCGTGTGATAGTGATTCGCCGAAAGAGAACGACGTCACTCACCAGAGGATACAAAGGGTGAGACGTGAAAGCATGGAACAGCTTAGCCTGATTAAGGTAGTGGTTTGTTTGCTTTTGTTTTATTTCTGCGGTCGTTCTTTGACGTAAGTCAAATAGCTTTTTATTAAATATGTGTTTTTCTAAGTGTTTTGCGTAAATTAATGTTAATTGACTAACGTAAGAGCGGTTATTTTTATCCGTTGTTTGGCTTTTGTGTCGCTAATTGAGGCAAATGTGTGTTTATGTTTGGAAAGAAAATTAAAAAAAAAACACTGAAAAGGTAATGGATTAATCTATTTAATTAAAATTGAAAAATAGTTAAAAGAAAATATATTGAGTGACATTAGAAATGCACAAGTGTCAAATTATTTGTGTTTTTTGGTAGTGTTTTAACAACTTTTAAAATGTATTTGTTCTAATTGGGTCTCTGGAAGAATTTATCATAAAAAAAATCCTTACTAAACAGTGTGTCCCCGGATAGGTGAAACGACTCTTTTTAAAGATACAAAAATTTGATTTAAATTTTCATTTTTGGGGTTCAGCCCTGCTTGGTTAGAGATTAATTTCTAACATAATTTTAGTTTTCAAAATCAAGTATGCTTTGGAAATTAAAAAATATATATATTTTCCTGTAAAGTGCTTTTTACGTGGCAAATACGAACAAAGAGTTAAAGTTGTTTAGAATCAATATTTAGGCTTCTATACCAAATTTCAAAATAATCGACCAACTATGATTTTTAGTTTTTGTTCGAAAACAATATTATTAACAGAAACGTCAAAAATTTATTTAAAGTCGCGGCCAATTCATAGTGGCCACTTCCCTGTGTAAATTTTTGTAAAAATTGAGTTAGATAAATCCGACTGTAAACATCCAATTGTTTTTTTAGGGATGTATCTATCGAAATTGGCAATTCTGAAAAGTCGGGTTAGAAATTAAATGGTCAGTATGAATTGACCGTGTCTTTAGTACTAATAATCTAAATGTATTTTTTTATTCGTAATGAAGGAACTGTTAAAAATAAAAATATATATAAAAAAATATTTCAATTTCAGTAATATTAAAATATTATGTTTTAAAGAAACATTTCTATAGTACCATGCTGAACAAAAAAGTGGGAGATCAAATTTTGACACTTTCTGAAAATTTAATGTAAAACAGCACTTAGCCTCACTTTCAATTTAATGTCACTGATGTATAGGTGATGTGCCTGTAGTTTTGACGTTTTGTAGTCAAATTTGACTCCAGAACGAGAGGTTATTAGCTATAAGTGCTGTTTTACAATAGAATGCTGTCGCATGGCATGATACAATTACGGACACGGAATTTTGGACATTAAATTTGTCAATTTAAAAAAAATGTAAGCCACGCTTTGTTGTCATTATGATTGACGTTTGAAATTAAAATTTGAAAGTTGTAGTTGAAATTTTATTTTTGTTGTCGATTTTCCGTTACAATATTTTACATTCAACGTTTATTTAAATAGCTCAATAACTTATTTCAATTTATTGTCATTTTTTCTCTATATCTCAGGATAAAATTGCAAAAATCAAAAGTGAGGTTAGTTGCGCATAAAGTTTTACATTTTTATGTCAATCAAATGACAAATCGTCCAAAATTCCGTGCCCGAAACTGTACCATAACAATTTTGCTGTTAAACAAAAATTATTCGAATATTAGTTTTAATTGTTTCCTTCTTTAAATTAATGTTATAATATATGTCGCAAGTACAGTGATGGACAGTGAATTTCGTCCACCCAATTTCTGTGAATTCACAAAAATTCACTGTAGTCTGTGCTTTATTGTCATGATAACTGACATTCAATTACGTATTGTCAAATTTAATCAAATTCGAACATACCAGCAGTAAGTGCGTTTAATAAAATAAAAAGTATCTCTCTGGTACAAGAAGGTATGCCTCAAAGACGGGCCTCTATACTTTTGGGCATACCCAAGGACTACCATTTCAAAGGACAAAGGTAAAAAGTAGCAAGAAGCATCGAGCATTCTGTCAACATGACAAACGTTAATCAAAATTCTAAAATAAGGTTAAAAAAACCTAAAGAATAATTTACACTTTTAATCTGTCAGGGAAATTGGGTGGACGAAATTCACTGTCCATCACTGTATGAAAAAAAAATATTGCGGATTTGTTGGATATCACAACAGGATTAAATTTGAAATGTGTATTAATTAAAAAAATTAAAAAATTAAAATAAAAAGTAATTGAGAAAACAATGAATAAATAGTATGTGACTTTGTAACGCAAGAAATATTAATTATATTTGTCAGTTTCTAAGGGTGTTCTTGCATTTATGATCAGATTTATTATACACTGTACTAAAATACAACTTTTTGTATTTCTAGTCTTGTGCAACAAAGTGCTAAAATTTACGTTTTATGTATTCGAAAAAATTCCTCTGTTACTAGGGAAATTATAGTTGTTTGCATGTAAATTGATTGCTTTTTTGTTGTTGCATGCACTATCCGATTTCATAATTTCCTAACATTTTGTCATTGAAAAATCTGGCAAATTTCCAAGCTTCGTTCATAAACACTGACAAAATAAACCCAGATCTGTTGCGCTCTGCAAAATAGATCAATTAGAACCGGTCTGTGTTTGCATCGTCCAACAAAAATTTATAAATTAAATAACACTTGACGTCAGAACAAGTTTTATCACTAAACAACACGTCGTCGGTAAATAACAAACAATCCTTTTCCAGTTGACTCCCGACGGAAAACAACGTCCCGGCTTCACACTTCCCCCCATGAAGGCGCCATCACCAACCAAAAACGAGGACGACGACTCCTTCTTCGATTTGTTATCCCGCTTCCAGTCAAAACGCATGGACGACCAACGCTGCTCTCTGACGATAGACAACAAGGAAAACACCAATGTGGTGAATCTCCCACGTAATGAGGGCCCCGACGACCTCATCGACATGATTGCTGGGATGCAGAGCAAGAGGATGGACGAGCAGAGAGTGGCGTTGCCACATCTTCCCGGATTGCAGTCGTCGTCGTTGCAGAAGTTGGCCGAGTCGAGGAATAACAGCGTTCCCGATGACAATTTCCTGGACCAGTTGGTGCGGTGTCAAGGATCAAGGTTGGAGGATCAGAGGTCGCCGCTCCCGGTGCCGGCGGTTGATGTGGAGGCGGATCCACCGCCGGCGAGGAAAAGCGGAGCGACGGTGCCCGACGAGGATTTTATCTCGTTGATCATGAGGTTTCAGTCGGGGAGGATGGATGATCAGAGGGCGGCGGTGCCGAGGGTGGAACACAGGTAAAAAATATTCAGTATTCAATTGAAACAAAAATCACTATCTAATCAAGTGTTTTTTTTAACGGAAATGTCAAATAGTCTTAATGTTGGCAGATTCATTCCTGGTAATTTTAATGAAGGAATTTGGCAGTCCCGGTTTTTGATTTAATTTGAAACCAAAGCAAAGAAAATTTGGAGACGAAAACACAAAAACGGGGACAAATTTGGTACCGCTAAGGTACTAGATGCTATCATAGACATAGATACAATTGCGGACACGAAATTTTGGACGATTTGTTATTCGACTGATATATGTGTAAAACGGGATTTAGGGTTTTTGTAATTTTTATCCTGACAGAGGATAAGAAATCAAAATAATTTGAAGGTCCAAAAGGGGGCAAGTGCAAAAATTACGTATAGTAAACCAATGCTGGCCATCTTGTACCATTTTTCATGTAAAATGTGCCTATACTGGGTGCGCCAGAACTCGCGCCCCAGAGAAAATTTTTAAGTAAGGTAAGATACCAGGAACATGAAAAAAATGTTTAAAAAATTCTATCTGTCAAAAAATTTTGACATTTACTTTTTGACATATGACAATTTTTTATGTCTATTTAATGATACTGATGATTTTGTATATGTTTTTTTACAATTATTTAATAAAGGTAAACAATTTTGCCAATGAAAGCCACAAATAACATTGAACAGAGTTACAATTTAGGATACAGCTTCCTTGTTTCCTCTTTTAATAGCCTATAGCAAAAAAACTTGGAAAATTATTTTTCCAACAGAAATAAATAGAGTCAAAGTGCAAACTTTAAACCCTCATAACTTCGAAATTTTTATAGATAATTTTTTTTTTACATTTTTTCCATGTTCCTGGTATCTTACCTTATATGGCATTTATCTCTGGGGCGCGAGCTCTGGCGCACCCTGTATATTCATACACGTACAGAAGGCGACACTCACCTAGCAAATATAAGTTTTCGTTATTGCATACAACGCCACATGGTGTCAAGTCCATGTTAGCCATGTCCAAAAGGGGCCAAGTCCGTATAAATAAGACGTGGTGTAATCTAGTGTCCCACCTAAAGTAACGGAAGAGGTTTCAGCGCAGCTGACATTATTATATTCATTTTGTGTTTAGTATTGTACAATAAAATAAAAATATTAATGGAACCTGAAAATAATTGTAATGGAGTCCTTTTGATGTTGTGGAAGTTGATCTACCAATTTTTTGAATACCAGCTTAGATTATGCAAAGAAATGCCCGTTTAGTTTCCGCCCGATTCGGTAACTAGAAATTCGCCAGGATCATTCCAGACTGCTATATTATAGAGAGTCCTATAATGGAACATGGGACTCAGCAATAGTGAAGGAAAACAAATGTAAGGGACCTCTTTTACTACCAAATGAATTTGTGCTGCCTTCATATTCCTACTCTGGTACAATAATATAGTATATTAAAGAACAAGTTTTATAAGGGTTGATTCGGCGCACGAATCCCAAGTTAGAAAACCAGCCGTAGGCGAGTTTTCTATGGGATGAGTGCGCCAATGCCATTATAAAACGAGCATTTTATGCTATTTTTTCTAATTTGCGCCCCTTTTTTTCTTATTTTAATTAGAAAAATATTTTTTTTGTCGCCTAGAGAATTTTGTGTTAGTTGGTATCGGTTGGTAACACTCGGCGCCCACCTGTTTTTTTGAGTCATTTCTGCCGTCTGTCATTAAAAATAAAGTTTACAAATTATTAGTTATTAGTGTTACAACATAATAATAATAAATAAAATATGAGAAACAGAATTTAGTTTGCACTCCGCCCGAAATTCCCGAAATTGCCGAAGCAACCACGCAAAATTTGTTACCTGACAAGTCAAAAGCGGCATCCAAAAACTAAATATCCCTAAATTCATTAAAGCACAGTGTGCTTTTACAGAGCCATAAACGACTTCTACGAGAGACGTTAATAAACGTATTATAAACGCAAATTAGAAAAAATAAGATTTGCTATGTGTAAAAAAGTGGAACAAAGTTTTAGGCATTAAGCACTCAAAATCACTCACTGAACAATCCTTTATCTACACATGTATGGCCCCTGCGCAAGAATATAATTTATTATTGATATTTATTATTATTATTATTATTAAGTATGGTGACACAACTATCTACAATAATTGGAAGGTATACATTTTTTATATTGTTACTGCAATAAAAATACTTACTTGACTTTCAGTGTGTTTCTATCAATATTATTAGGACTGAATTCTGTCTTTAGACACCTTCGATTATAACGCAACCAAGCACACATTTCTAGATATTTCTATTAAGAAATAGATATTTCTAGATAAGCTGCTACCAATTTGTCCACCAAAATTTTGAATTGGTGATTTCCGTTTAAAAAAATATTCCATACGTGTGATTTTTAGAGATTCTTTGTTGCAGAATGGCCAATGGCAACGTCCCACATGCAACAAATGGTATTAGTAATAATTTTAAAAGCAATTCTTCTGGCAAGAAGAAGAAGTAATACGAATAAATTAGAGTAAGTAAATTTGAAAAACCCCATATCTGAATTTTTATTTCGATTGACTGCCATTGGAGCATGTACGATAAAGAGACCTAAAGTAAAGTGTATGCTTTTTTATATTTTTATATGTTTAGTAAATAATATTGTTGTATCTATACTTTCTCTTAATTTTAATATATTCGAATTTTTATTCGTTATGTAATGGATTATCCAATGCGTAAACTTAATCTACTTTTGGTAAAATTTAATCAACGCTTCATTCTTTATATTTTGCTCATTTAGGACTAACAAACCCTGACCAAAACATGCTCTACTCTGTTATGAAATAGTTAAAGTTCCAGTGTAATGTGACTCATGGATCTTGTTATTTGAAATTTGTTGCCACACTTGTAATATTGCGCCTAAAATGTGAGCTCATATTTACCTAAAGTATTAAACGTGCAAAGTGCCAAAAGGATGTGACTGTGGCAACAGATTTTCTGCATGTCCCATCTCGAAATTTCTCTCTGTCCAGCTGAATGCTTTACACATTGAATAATGTGAAAACAATTTAGACAAATGTTTGCCAAAGATGTTTCAAATATCCACACGTTTATTAATAGACTGTTGAATTTCTTCCTCTTTTTATGAAAGATTTATATGAGAAAATTCATGTGTTACAAACTGAAAGTGTATTGTTATTTAAATGGTACAAAGTAGGAAAATAAATTTTATCAGCGGAATTTTAGTTTTATTTGACCCGACTCAAGAACTGTTTGTACCACAAGTAAGACGTAGCGGCACTTAAACTATACCAAGTGAGAATATACGATAAGTGTTCGTTACGTAAAGAGACTCGAGTTTGGCCCCCGATGGGGCCCTCAGGTGTGTCGAAGTCAGTGGTAGCCTCTAGAAGAACAGGAAGGGCTCCTGTGACTTTAGCCATTTGGTTCAAATCGCGATAGAACCATTGGTTACTGTCTTCCTGGTTTTTGGGAATGAATGTGGGGCGGTTTTCCTGGAGGCGGACTACACCAACAACGTCAACGACCCCTTTAACCTGGCCTTTATCCCTACTTGCAGGGTTTTTGCATTTTGCAGGCACCCAACCCCGACTTATCAAGATTATTTCATTCCTATCAACTAATTTGAACGGTGTGATAACTAAATAGCCTTGATTTTGCTTCGTCGTCGATGACATAAGTTGACTTTTAGTCGCTGCATCGCCCTTTAAAATTAGGGTCCTTGGACCTAAATATAATTCCTTGTCGTGTAAAAATTCACCACGGACATGGACTGGCCGATATTCCATATTTTCCAATTCTTTTAAACTACAAAAAATCATTACAATTGGTTGAGGCAATATTTTTTACAAACTCTGTAGGTAATTGCACAGGATCTGCATCAGTCAAGTTATGTAATTTCGCAATCAAATCCTCTTTCCATTTCTTCCGTTGAACTTGCCACGTCCCTAGAGCGAAAGTTGAGGCCGGAACGACCTAAAAAATGGTCAAATTTAGTTAAAAATTGATAAAAACCAGCATCCTGACCAAGAGGAACCAACCCAAAGGACCAATTTGTTTGCTCTGACTCTTGGGCGTGAAAAATTTCGAATGAGTATTTGAGTACGAAACTTTGGTCAAATACACACAACAGCGTTTATTAAATAAGTTTAATAAATTTATATTTCGGGCAGAGAACATTTTTTGTTAGGTTATGTTTACACAGCTGACTATTTTAACAACCAACAGGAGTACCAATATTTTTCTTCTTAATTATTTTATTTTCAAATTTTACTTTAGTAAAATAGAATATTATTTATGAGAATCTCGTTGTGTTATTATTGTTAGTTATTTGCATTTTAAAGGTTTTTTTGTTAAAAAAAATTTTTTTGAGTGAATGAGATTAGCCAACATTTGACCAAAAGTTACTAGTATTTAAAATTGTTGATATCAAGAATGGAAGTATTGTATTGTAATAGGCGAAAAATGAGTGTTTTTTTCACAATTTGTGTTTAAACTCTCACTTTGTATTTTTAATAATTGGTGCAAGTTGTATGGTGTAGTCAATTTTATTAAAATTGTGAAATTTTGGTGTTTTAACCTCAAAATGGATGAATATTCAACAAATAATGACCAAACTGTGGATTATGAACGGGCTTTATCACCCATTCTAAGCGGACAAATCTCTCGCAAACACTTAAAAGTCAAACAAAAGGCTCGGGTTAAATTGACCAACCGGTTTTCAGAGAAGTCTCCAAAAGCCTCCTCTGACACAAGTAGCAACATTTTAACTTCAAGTCAGACTGAAAACTTTTTAAAAAGTAAAAGAGAAGACTGGAATTCTAATCAAAATGAGTCTCCTAACGTACAAGATTTTGATTCTAAAAACCCAAAATTACCGACAGAAAAATTGCCCAAAGTGTCTGATGAAACAGCCAAAAAGTTATTTGGCGATATTTTAAATCCTGTAAGTCTTAAGTGTGAAAATATGCAACCTAACAAGCAATCGTTTTTCAATAAACTTGAAGCAAGTAAGTTTCTCAAATCAAAGGAAAATATTGCTGGTAAAAGAACTCATATGGGGGCTGGAGGTTTCAAAGCGTCTGATGAAGCGTTGAGAAGGTCCAAAACGTTGTTTGACGACATCTTAAATCCTGGGGGTTTTAAATGTGACAACGTGCAACCTAACCGTTCGTTTTTCAATAAACCTCTTAAATTAGAGGAAAACACCGGTTTTGTGGGTTTTAAAACGGCTTCAGGGAAAAGTACGATAATTTCTGAGAATGCGGTCAAGCAAGCTAGGAATAAATTCAGTGAAAAATTAAATTCTGAAACACTTGATGAAAAAATTGACTTGTTGTGTACTCAGGAAACGAATGAATTATTTACCAACCTTACCATTTTAGAAAATAAGTTGTTTAAAAAAACTGAAAATCAATTAAATGAGGAGTTCAAAGGCTTTAGTAGAGATCTGATTGAAGAAAATTTGAGACAAGTTACTGAATTTTCTTCGATTGTGACCGAATTTGAAGGAGGGAAGAAGAAACTACAAAATCAGCATTTGGGGGGTTTTAGGACATGTTCTGGGAAGCAAAATCAACTAACTGAAGCCTCGTTACAAGCCGCCAAACATCGATTAGGAAACGATATTCCAAATTTAAAGTTTAGTAAAGTTGCTAAAGCGGAAAATGATTTTCGGGGATTCACAGATGTCGGTAAAGACGAGTCTAGAACCTCAAATTTTACCAAATGTGGGGGCTTCCAAACAGCCACTGAAACCTCGTCGAATTTAGCAAAAGACAAGCTAAAAAAAGCACAACAAATTTTCAAAGGTTTGGACGACTCTTTTAGTTTTTCCAAAAGTAGCAAGAATACAATTTTTGGTGACTTTAATGGTGGTTGCAAGAGGAAATATTCGGATGTGGCAACTGCGAAAACGGGGGTCGAAAAATCTAGCCATATTTTTAATGGAGAAAAGCCCACTTTTTCCCCAATTAGAAATAACGCAAGGATTTACAACTCAACCCCATTGAAAAATACCACTGTGACGTGTATCGAGTCGGATATAACACCAATAAAACGCATCAAATGTGAAGCAACTGTAACACAAAATTTGCAAAACGATCGATTCATAATTCAGGAGTGTTCTGAAGGAGATGTTAACACTTGGGCCCAAAACTTGGAAAACGAACGAAAAAAACTCGAAGCGAAATTGAAAATGATTGGTGAGAAACAGCAAGTTTTAAATTTACAGAAAGAAATTTTAGAGGATGAACCAAAGACCCAAAAGTGAGTTAATGTGTTTCCGTTTTTAGTTTAAATCATTTGTTTTTATTAGGAGACAACCTGGGGTTTTATTTAATAGAAAACAATGCAACGAACGAGTTTTCTTGAGACAAGGGTTACAAATAGATTCATTTCGAGTTTCAAGTGCGATTAATTCGGAAAATTCGCTGAGTGTTCATTTGAAGTAAATTGTGTGGTGGAAAATTTGTTGAAATTATTTTTTTTATTTTTAGGGAAAATTTACCGTTCATTAATACGTCAGATGGTGCTTGTGTTGTTCCAAATTTTGATAATCTTGTTGGTTTGAGTGAGATTGAAGTGGCGTTTAAGACAATGCCGGGTGTCGAAATGGGATTACTTCCAAATGGTTGGATTAAAAATCACTTCAGATGGATTGTTTGGAAGTTGGCGAGCTATGAAAATTTTAATTTCGATTGTTTATCAGTCGAGAATATTATCCAACAATTGAAATATCGGTTAGTTCAATTGAGTCAATTTTTTGAACTTTGTTTTAATTTTTTTTAGGTACGATCGAGAAATTGATCGAGCGGAACGTCCAGCACTTCGAAAAATCTTCGAAACAGACGACACGCCACAAAAACGCATGGTTTTATGTGTAGCGAATATCTTCAACGTATTTTTGACTCATTTAAACGATTTTCATTTCTAAAACAAGTATTTCAGTTAGGTTCAAATAAATTTGAACTGGAATTAACCGACGGTTGGTACAGCATTCGAACCTCCATTGACGCACCTTTGTGCCAACAAATTGTAAATAAGAAAATTCAAATTGGTACCAAATTGGTGATTTCCGGGGCCGAATTGGTAGATTGCGACGGGTGCCACCCGCTAGAGGTAAAATACATTTTAGAAAATAAATGTATGCAACACGGGCATAAACCCTGTGTTAAATTGCTTACAATAGACATCCAACTTGTTTGGTTGCTAGGGACAGTTGTCATTGGTGCCAACAGAATTTGTCGTTACCACTATTAAAAAACAGATATTACAGTTTTTTTAAATATAACAAAAATACAGTCTAAATTATTATGAAATGTTACATTGTAATAACTAATAACACAGGGCGACAAAAAAAAGTCATGTCGTGACAACTTGACTAATTTTATATCATTTTGTTCGTTTCAGTGAGACAAATCAAATGCACTAAAAAAAAATAAAAAAGTGCACACACTTTAAACTAAATAATTTTTTTTCTAATTTCAATGAATTTAAAATACTTTAACTTTAAAAAATCATTACTCAATAACTATTAGGCCGATTTCCTTCAAATAAAGACCATTCTAAAGGGATGTCCATGCCTTTTAGAATGATATAAAATTTGAAATTGAATATTGGCAAACTTTTTTTCGAACAGTGTTCAATGAAGTTCGAAGTAATCTAAGAAAAACCCTTCGAGTAATTTTTTTTCTTCGTCACCATCGTGTAGAGCATCTTTTTATTGGTAAGAATCCAAATTTTTAAAATAATATACCGAGTAGTTTTTCAAATATGATTTTTTGAAGTTAAGGTTTGCTATTCAGGTATTGCGCCATATAGGAGAAATGCATGTTAATCTTACTTAAACTTGCATTTTTATAAAAGTATTTGTTTTAAGACTCTTCTTTTGATTAAAAATGGTCAATTGCACCTTCTTTCTTCTAATTAGAATAAACAACTGCTTCTTGACTTAAAACAAACAAAGAGTACCTGCGTACTAATTAAAGCTAATAAAGAGTTTTTTTGTTCTAAAAATGATCACTGAGCAAAAAGGATCTAGAAGTTTAAAGCAGTAGCTTTAAATATAAGAACAAATCTTTTTCAAATTAAATCACTTTCCATTCAGATTCCAACTTGTTCACTTTGTTCTAGCGTTTTGAACTTTTTTTGAAAATGTTCTCAGCAAATGCTTTTTCATCACTTTCTACTAACGTTGAATGCAATAAGTCAGTTGCTTCGTGTGCAACTGTTATCACAACAACTACTACATACAAGCTAACTGAAGCTAATCGTAGAATAAACCAACAAAATAAATCAAGTGACTTATTGCATTTAACATCACTCGAAAGTGATGAGAAAGCATTTGCTAAGATCATTTTCAAGAACTGTTCAGAAAGCTAGAACAAAGTGAACAGTTTGCCCTTATATTTAAGGCTCATTTCTTAAACTTCTAGATCCTCTTTGCTCAATGATCAGTGGTCATTTTTACAACACAAAAACTCTTTATTTGCTTTAATTAATACGCAGGTACTCTTTGTTTGTTTTAAGTAAAGAAAGAGTTTTTTGTTCGTTCTTATTGGAACAAAGAAGGTGCAATTGACCATTTTTAAGCAAAAGAAGAGTCTTAAAACAAATACTTTTATAAAAATGCAATTTTAAGTAAGATTAACATGCATTTCTCCTATATGGCCCAATACCTGAACAGCAAACCTTAACTTCAAAAAATGATATCTTAAAAACTACTCGGTATATTCTTATGAAAATTTACTAATAAAGAGATGCTCTACACGATGGTAATGATGAAAAAAAAAATTACTCGTTGGGTTTTTAGATTATTTCGATTTACTTCGAACTTCTTCGAACACTGTTCGAAGAAAAGTTTGCCAATATTCAATTTCAAATTTCATATCATCCTAAAGGGCAAAGCCATCCCTTTAGAATGGTCTTTATTTGAAGGAAATCGGCCTAATAGTTATTGAGTAATGATTTTTTTAAAGTTAAAGTATTTTAAATTCATTTAAATTAGAAAAAGATTATTTTGTTCAAAGTGACTTTTTGAATTTTTTTTTAGTGCATTTGTCAAGATGTCAGACATGACTTTTTTTTGTCGCCTTGTGTAATCATAAGTAGTTTCACAGAAAATTAATATTATACAAGCATCTCTAAAAAAAAAGAAAACAAATTTCTTTTTCGCAAAAAAACTAAAATTGTTTATTTTTGATGTTTTTTAATAATTTTTTTGGATTTACTTAAAACCAGGAAGGGTACGAAAAAAGACCAGATAATATTTGGCAAATTTTGAATGTTGAATTTTGATTGAAAAATATAATTTTTGGTCGAGGGGCCGTTAACTTGAAAAAAATAGGTTCAATTAATTGCAATTCCAAAAAAAATCCACCAAAATTTTAGTAATTCCAAAAAAAAATTCACGGAAATTTCAGTAATTTCAATAATATATCGTATTTTCATTGTTTTTGGATTAATTCTTAAAATTCTAAACTAATTCTTAAACTTAATTTCCGCAATTCTAACTTAATTTGTGTAATTCTAAATTAATTCCGAGAGTTATAAGAAATTCAACCTAATTTTTACAAGAATTCCAGAAAAAATCTAGTAATTCACAAATAATTATAGTAATTTTATCAAAATTACAGTAATTCTAATAGTCTACTGTGATTCCATTATTTTCAGATAAATTTCTATAATTTCAAATTAATTTCTGTAATCCACTTTAATTTCCGCAATTCCAATTTAATTTTCGTAATTTTAAAATAATTTCTTTAATTCCAAATTAATTTCGATAGTTCTAAGAAATTCAATGCAATTTTAAAAGATACGTACTTTCTCCGATAATTCTTAAAAAAATTACAGTTGTTCCAGAAAAATTTCAGTAATTTACAAATAATTCCAGTAATTTCTAAAAATCCAAAGATAATTGTAATAATTCCATATTTGGAATTATTAAAATTATGTTTGGATTTTTTAATCCAAGCAATTTCGATTATATTCTAAAAATTCCTCCATCTAATTTCAGAGTTAACGGTCCGTCGTTTGGTTCTCTTTGGTTACAATTATTATTTTCTTTAATTTATTATTATTTATGCACAGGCTTCTCATGTAGTTCGTTTGAAAATCCATTGCAATTCGACGAGGAGGGCCCGCTGGTACGCCAAACTCGGTTACCAGAAGTGTCCAGAACCGTACTTGCTAAAATTAGCCTCGATTTGCCCAAATGGGGGCCCCATCGGCTGTATCAAAGTTTATATCGCACGAGTGTACCCTTTGAAATACCTCGAAAAGCATAATACACATTCTGGTGCTTTGATTCGACCTAAAAACGACATTATTTAATTGGTTTTGAGTTTTAGTTTGGCGAAATCAGAGAGCCGAAGATATAAGAGCCCAAGAATGGGAGAATTACAATCGTCAAATTTTGGAAAACGTGCAAGAAACGATACAGAGAGATTACAAAAAGAATCATAATTTAAAAAAAGCAAAAAATATCAGTGTGAATTATGCCGAAATTAGGAATATTGATTGTCCGGAAACGTTATTTAATATTTGTAGTAATTGTAATGATCCTGAGCGCTTACAGGTTATTTGTTTAATTTGTCTTTAAAAAAAAATATTGTTTTATTCAAGGAAGTGTTATCGGAGTCGCAAAAAATGTCTATTATGGATTACCAGCAACGAATTTTGTTGTTACAACAACAGGAAATGTCGCGAGAAATTGAAGACAGTTTTAAGAAGCTTCAAACGGTCAAAAGAAACATTACTGCGGTGTTAACACTATTGGTCATGGATGCTCTCGATCCTGACAAAGACAAATGTTACGTTTTACAAATTTGGAACCCATCAATAACTTATCTACAAATTTTAAAAGAGTCATCAGTTTGTCACATTTACAATGTTATGTTAAAGTAAGGTCGTAGAAATAGTTGTGTATGTAAGACTCATTTTTATGTTGAAGAAATAATGGGAATTTGTCGGCTACAAGTTGGACCAAATTCAAACCAGATTCCGAAAAATTGACAAATTTTGAAAGATACAACCGAACTGTCACTCCAATACCTAACATAACTACAAAGCCGCAATTTAACGAGTTTGATACAGTCGGTATCGTTGTACAGATAACTGTAAATAATCTTCATCAAATCTTGTGGTTGGCTGACACTTCTACAAGTTTGTTATTTATTAAAATTTTCGATAGTCCGAAAAACTGTCTACTCTTAGACAAGCTCAAAGTGGGACAGATTGTCGCGATCGAGAATTTAATTTTTTATGAAAAGACACTTGATTGTGCTCAAGCTGTAGCTAACAATTTGACGGTCATCTCATCTTCACCCAAACACAAGCATTTGCAAAACGGTATTGATTTAATTAATGAACAAATCTCCCAAGTAAGTTGATTATTAAAATGGCTTTAATTTTGAAATTATGTTTTACAGAATTTGGACAATTTTTTGCAAGAGTGCAACCAGAAAGTGGCTTTATATACTGATAAAAATAACATTACCAAAAACTACAAAAATACATCAAAATCTCTCGTTACAAGTTCGTTGCTGACATCTGATATATTTGATGATGGTTTGGATGGTTTGGATTTCGATGAATTGCCATAAAATTTGTTTTTTGTTCATATTTTTATAGTCTAATTGTTACTGCAGATTGTTGATGTTAAGTTAAGAATAAATTGTTTTGTTGGTTCGTGGCTGTGGTTCGCCAATAGCACTTTTTTATCAGGTTGGTAGCAATGTCAATGATTTCTTCAGCCACTAAGTGATTGGTTTTGAAAATTTTGTGTTTCAGTGTTATTATTTTTTATTAGTATGAGGAACAAAGGATTGAATGGTTTTCTGTAACTAGATTTTTATAAAAAAAAAAATATTTTACGTATGTATTTATCTTATCTTATCTTATCTTACGTATGTGTTTATCTTAAACTGATATTTGCCATTATGCGTAATCTGTAAATGAATTCTCAAATTTTTTCGAATTTGCCACCAAAAATTCTGGAAATTGGTAAGTTTATTGAACGTAATTTACTCCCAACGGCATTGTCAGTGTTACCAACATTAACAATTTAAAGTACATTAGGTTATTAACGCACCTAAACCAGTTTGTTAACGTTGTTAAAGACGCAAAAGAGCAAAAAATCTTTCAAATCTGAACTTGATACAAAATTTCCAGCTCGCTAATTATTTATTTTACGAGGTATAATGACATTTTAAATAAAATAAAATGATATTTTTTATTTGAAAGTCACTTGGGACTTTTAACGTGCTTTTAGTGTAGCCAGGTATGATGAAATTTCATTATATCTGGTGATTTTTATACTAGAGTTTAAAAATCCTACGAACATTAAATTATCTGATGATTTTTTAGAAATGTAATTACAATTACAGCAAAAAATTAGTAAATTTAGAATTATTATTTTTTAACTGAGTATTCGGTAACACGTTTAATAAAATTAACTTTTTTACGCAATCGTCAAAGAACAAAATTCGTTTTTTTAATTAAAAACTATTGCATTTTTGAGCATTTTACACGTTTTTTTCAACTAGAATAAGTTCAATTATTTTGCCAAACTTTCTCAAAAAATTACCAAATTAGTTAAGCATTTGGTTAAAACTATTTAGTTTGATTTGTTTTTTTTTATGAGGTACTATACTCAACATCAGAGTCAAAAAATCGCTGAATTGAATGGAAAATAAATACATTATTTTAGCCTTTCTCGAAAAATTTACCAAATTGTTTAAGAAATTGTGCATTTTTATAGTGATTAACGTTTTTTTTTAAAAAGAATACAGTTTTTCGTAAAATTTTGCTAAAAAAACTTTAACAAATTAGCTTGAAGTTGGTATTGTTTAAGCTTGTTTTGCTCGACTTAGATCTTTTTGAACCATTTATTTAT